TGAAATCATAATTCTTTATGTTCACAGTTAGTTTAAAATTACCTTATTTATAATAATTAAGTTATATTGTACTGTAAAGCTTATTACAAATTATTAGACATTGGAAAAATTATCTGAGGTGACACTTGACATCTGAAATTAATTTACGTAAACTTTAAACCAACTAACATCGTTTTACTCGTAAAAACGTCGAAGAAAAGTCAAGAATAAAGACATGTTCAAATTTTATGTGATGTGTTTCTTTTCTCGCATAACTTCTTGTCATTTCTATGGGATTGGCAAGAATTATTTTCAGTCATTAAACATAATATGTACAATTGGAACTTTCGTTTTAGCATCCTAGATTTGTCACATTGTTTGTAATAGCTTCTATAGATACAACATTTTATGTCTCATTTCTTTAATAGATACAATCCGTATTACTGTCTTCTTTGATACTGTTGTAGATTATCAATATTTCATGTACAAAAAATAACGAGTATTATTTCATTAGCGGATTCCAAATACCTTGAAATTCCTGTATGTAATATTGTCAATCAAGAAGAGCGCCAAAGTCAGAAGGGAGTTTGTCTAGTTGCAGGATCATCCCACCAAGATTCCACTAATAATTTTGTAAGCTAAATCTTCTATGTATCTTAGTTTAGTGATATATACATTAAAAAATGGTTTTCGTGGATTAAAATCACTGTATCTTGTATCTGTAAATATGATAAATTAGTGCATGTATTTACGAATTGTTACATAATCGCTATTTATAATTAAGCGACGTTTGGTGTCACTATATCACACTTCTTTGTTCCTGTTACATAATTCACATACTCCATTTGGATTCAGTGTGCTAACTCTTTCCTGCTTTATCTAACATAACGATGGACTTGTATCAATCTATCACCATTATTAAAGTTTTCCAAACACTGGTAAAATTTAGAATTCCATATAAATTAATTTTCACACGACTAAATATTACTATTCATATAGAGCTAGAAATTATGGAATTCTATGTAATTTATTACCATGCCATTGTATTAATGAGAAATATAAGTGAGAAACTCTGAGCTCATATGTAAGCTACAGTGATTTATAGCAATTCCAAACTTTATATACACGATTGCTGTGATGATGAACGAGATTTTATTTCATTTACGAAGGAAATACACCAAGCAGTGCCCACTGAGAACGAGAATCATCAGGTACCGTGGAAAGACCCGAGCTTACTTGAAGAGGGAATGTACTCAGGTCACCATAGCGGAGACTATATTGATCTTCAGACATGTTACAGACAAGACGTAGATGAGGCGTCGTTAACAGCACGTGAAAGAAACTACAAACAAACGGACGTCTGAGATAGCCACAATAATGAAAAGTGATTCAGTGTGCCTTGCTTTTTGTTAAATAGTGGTAATGATTGCTTTGTTGTTCTTGGTACCACAAGGTGTCAGTTAGTAAAGGCATTCTGCATGATGTATGATGTGTGAATAAAAAAAAAAGTTGATGCCCAATATAATACTATGATTAAAAACTAACAGCGATAACGTAATAAGTTATCACCAAATCGTGGATCTATAAAGCTGATTTCTCAGAGTTATACGATTTCCGAGGCGTCAATCCAGGTGACCCAAACCTATGAAAAATCGGTACATTTTAATTTTGGCATAGCAATTAAGATAACTGAAAAAAACGGAATGATCTGCACTGAATACAATTATAAAGAATTACGATGATTTGTAACATTTGGTGTCGACAATCGCATACCTGTAAATTGCTCTGATATTGTAAATACTATAGCGCTTTATTTAAGACTACGCATGTACGTCGTGAATATTGAAACATGAAAGTCATCCCTAACGTATTAAAGTAAAATGCTGTACTTTTTAAAATTTAAAGTGGGAGAAATGAAGAGTCAATTTTGTTTAAATCAAATTTAAACAGGAATAGGTTTCAGCAAAGTAAGTGTAAGTAACGCAAAAATTACTAAAAGGATTAAATACACTTATTGTTGTTGTTTAACACTCATAACGTAGTTAAATTAATATGTAGAATTATAACGGACTTTTCTCTACGTTAAAATATTTTTATTTGGGAGCTTTCGTCCTTCTTACCGAAGCCTTCATCGGGCAACAATGTTCATTGTTGCCCGATGAAGCTCCAGTAAGACGACCGAAAGCTCGCAAATGACTATTATTGTTTATAACTGACAACCTTGAATTGTCAGCAGTTTTGTTGTTGTTGTTGTTGTTTTGTTTTTCGGTGTACGTAATGATATAGCCTTGTAAGTCAACAATAATTCAAGTTTTGTCTTTGGTTGTTGTTGTTTATATTTTTGAAAATTTTGTTGTTTAAATCACGGAAATTATTATTTGCTTGGATTGAATATCTGTATTTCTATGATTTTTATCACAATATCAACTGTAACATATACGTGAGTATTGTGTCTGTGAAATAAATGGAAACTGTATCATTTTTTGTAACAATTATCTTTTGTAAATCAACAAAAATATTACATAAAAAGAAACGTAAATTTCGTCAACACAATTTCATATATATGTATACATATATATATATAGATTGCTTGGGATATAAAAATAAGCATATTATATAGAAGGTGTATCAACTTTTTAGGTTGAAGTATACTAAGAATTAGAACTGCATCATCATAATGAACTTATTGGCTCATAGTTTCTGTAATTAAACCTTTGTACGTATTCTCACTTACACAAGAAAACTAATATAAAACACACCTTAAAATGTATGTTTTTATGTAATATATTTCCCCTAAGTTGTGAGGAATCTCACTGAATTTAATAAAGAAAAATAATGTAGGAAAATATAAAAAACATGATGATTTACAAACAATTATTATGTGAACAAAATGATGACAAAACCTATGCAAATCATCAATTCTTCTTATAGATGCTACCTAAAAGTATTCTATTATGTCTATTATTAATTCTTTTTAACAATAAAGCTCAACTACTTATAGCTACATTTATTTTTGACCTTAGTCCGTCTATATGGTCTATATATCTATCTTTGAGATTCACACTTAGATATAATTATAACATTATTCTTCTTATAAGACCCAGATCTGTAATATCTATGTAATATCAGATGTGTTTGTCTGGGAGGGGTACTCTAAATACCCGTGACGTTAATGAAGGTCAATTAAAATACTTACATATTTACCGCTCATTACCAGTTCACCATTGAATTAAGAAAGTTTTACCTCCAAAAGCGCTTATATTATTGAGTCTCTTAATCTGTTATTTACATGCGCACATAAATGTTGATGCTGTAATCTTCAACGTCTCACACGTACTAGTTGTTTCTAATAAAAAATAAAAAATATATATGAGACTATTAATGATCGATCAGTGGAAGTGAGAAGTAAAGCTTATTTTATGAAGTTGGCAATCAAGCTGCATATACAAATAGCTAAAAAAATCATAGCTTCTCCAATAGCATAAAAATAGTACCTTATCTCGCATGCCCACAGATGTACATACAACATTATAGATTTCTAAAGTTTATTAATAGATTAATAATTTGATTTGCTTGGAAGCTGTATGATATCAAGCATTGGTAATATCATAATATTCGTGTTCAAATCTAACGTATGAACATGAGTATTAAATATTATTATGTATGTATATATATTAATGAACAAAACATATAAAGAAATAAAAATTAAAATTTGCTAGACGTTTCCGATAAGTATTTTTAGTTTTTAAAAAGGTCGTTTAAACACTTTGGCACTAGCTTTATATGGATGAACACTATCGCATATAAAGGATCAGGCATGGCCAGGTGGTTCGGGCGCTCGACTCGCAATCTGAGGGTCGTGAATTCGAATCCCCGTCCCACTAAACATTCTCGCTCTTTCAATTGTGGGAGCGTTATAAGTGATGGTCAATCGTACTATTTGTTGGTAAAAGAATAGCCCAATAGTTGGCGGTGGATGATGATGGCTAGCTGCCTTCCCTCTAGTCTTTCACTGCTAAATTAAGGACGGCAAACGCGATGGGCATATATGTTTCAAAAATGTCTTTCCAATTAATTTAATTTTTGAAATGTTATTATTGAATATCTTCGTATAAATATGTATTATTTTTTATATTTTTTTTCAAAAGTTAAAAGGCAACACTATACCAAAGACTAAATTACCGTCATGTAACTTTGCGTGACATAAAAAACAAAACAAATAAAGGCGCAGGTAACGTTTGAAAATTGGTAGTTATAGTGAAGTTAATGGGTGGTGGTTGGGAGTTATATTGGCTTAGATAACTCGTTTGGGCTTTTATACTAGTACAATCTGTCTACTATACTACTAATTAACTTAATAATTTAGGACTTTACTACTATATTGGGGGCTGGAATGCTAACATCAGGAGGTAAAATTATTTTAGCTGTCCTCAGTATTAGAACCTTATTTTCGTTCTTCTTTTATTTTATTTTATTACTTTGGAGCACAGTTACCTTTCCACAACTGTCTGCAAGCAGTGAAGGGTGATATAGATGTGGGATATTGTGAACTTGAGCACCTACATCCTGCTTTCCTACCTTATATTTTGTAAAGATTTTGTTTTCTTCAACATGTGAGACTGGTGAACGGAGGTTAAGACTGGTAAACCGTGTATCCTCACCACAATGTGGGTCCTACTTCCGCAGTCACCTTCAAAACCCAAGTCCCATTTTATATCCCACATTATAACCAATCCAATCTTTCAGGATTTTGGAATAACAGGGGTGGAATTTTTAATTATAAACATAAATATTTGGTGTTGGACTAACTTGGCGGAACGTCTCAAGACATCAGGGGAAGCTGTGTTTGTGGATATCAGGAAATAAGACGAAGGAAGGTGAGTTTCGAGCTTCTTGTTGATGTCTGCTGCTTCTCGTTGATAACTGTTGCTTCTTGTTGATAACTGTTGCTTCTTGTTGATAACTGCTGCCTTTTGTTGATAACTGTTGCTTCTTGAGATTGTCGAATACAGGAACGAGGATATATGTCGATGAATGACGAATGACCAAGGCTGTTTCAAGATGAACAAGTTGCAAGTATAAACCCGTGACTGATTTAATCAACTTAATTTGCTATTTAAATAAGTTATATATATTGGTTTACACATCATGAATCATTGTTTAGCAACATCATAAAATTTGTTTTTATGCTAAGTTGCGATCCTTTTCAGGTCTGGGATATATAAATCTAATCCTAGTTAGAGAATTTTACTGGTGGGAGGAACTGGAGTACCCCGAGAAAACCCACTTTCACGGCCATGGCGCCTAATAAAAGTTGCCCTGACCGTGCCCAGAAAATACCGCGGAAGAAACTCGCAGGTTAGTCTTGATGGTGGCCCAGCATGGCCAAGTGGTTAGGGCGCTCGACTCGCAATCTGCGGGTCGCGGGTTCGAATCCCCGTCCCACCAAACATGCTCGCCCTCTCAGCCGTGGGGGCGTTATATGTGACGGTCAATCCCACTATTCGTTGGTAAAATAGTAGCCCAAGAGTTAGCGGTGGGGGGTGATGACTAGTTGCCTTCCCTCTAGTCTTACACTGCTAAATTAGGGTCGGCTAGCGCAGATAGCCCTCGTGTAGCTTTGCGCGAAATCCATAACAAACAAACATTATTGATGGTAAGATACATTTGATAATTTTAATAACAACAAATGAGTGTTTAAAAAGGCTGAACGGTTGAAATGTCGATGTTAGGATAGGTAGGTTCTGGTTGTTGTCGAAGGGATCAGGCGAAGGAATTGAAATTTTCGTAGAACGACATTTCGGTAGAGTCTCCAGTCTCTTGGGCTTCGGGGAGCTCCACGTTATACCCTACACCCTGGAGATCCTTTTAATTTATGCAGCGTCTTCAACTACATTTTTTGTTTGGAACTGTTTTGTTAATTAAAATGTCGTTCATCACAGGTTTAGAGTTGCTGTTTTTAACGCAGTCCTTTCTTTTCGTATTAAGTTTTTCTTGACTGTTTAAGTACTAATTTTCTATAGATAATCATATACTTCTATTCAACAACATAAAGAAAACCAACAAATAATTATTAATATTCCAAATTAAATAAAATAACTAAATCGTTAACGTCTATATGGAACTTAAAAGAAATATACCAGCTTCATGAGTTTTTATAAGCAAACCTACTTTAGTACAAAGACACAAGTTAGCTATATTATATAATAGTATATTCCCATAGGAATAACACCGTTCAGTATATATAAGCTTTGTTATCTCAAGAGAATCTAAGTTATTCAAGAATATTTTATAGTAACTGGGTTAAAGACCCAATAAAAGCATCTGTTTTAATATATAGAGACTAATGTAAAATGACTAATAACTTTACTTCATCAGAAAATATGGATATGTTCTTTTTATTTATGCTGTTCTTCATAGTTTTTTCTATTATTTTAACAGAGTGAAGAGAAAACAGTAAAAAATTGATTTTCAGCTGCATAATAGGAAATAAAGACGAATGAATTATATTAAACATATCTAAATATGTAATATATGGTAATAAATAAATATACATTTGGGCCTTTAGTGACCAACACAATTGTAGTATTCGTCACAAGACTAAAAGGCTAGAAAATCAAAGTTCCAAAAGCTTCCAAGGTTGTCGTAAATGTGTTACTTCCACATCAGCAGTTCCTTAATCTCTTACAATCTCTGACTATCCTCTCAGGACACGACCTTTTTATTTATTTGGAAGACAAACATAATAAAGTTTATTTAAACGCATTTCAAAACATATACATGGCTAGGATACTTCTCTCTCTCCCTCGGTATAGCTAATATATGTTTCAAAAATGTCTTTCCAATTAATTTAATTTTTGAAAGCTATTATTGAATATATTCTTATAAATATGTATTATTTATACATGTTTTCAATGGCCTAAACTGACTTTCAAATACGTAATATGTAACTTATATTCGCATTCTGACATTTATAAACAAATCAATTATTATTCGTTATTTAGGATGCGTCTCACTTCATTTTAAGTGAAAATCATTTAATAAAAACTTTTGAAATACAAATACAACTCCGTAAGTAGCATCGCTGTGGTTGAACCTCGTTCATGATTTAATTATAGCAGTGATTCTTTTAAACCCTAAATCTAATATTCTGTCATTAACATCTTTGCATAACTTCTCTGATTCAACCCATGCCTTTGAAGTTTTCAAAAAAAAGAAGCTGATTAGTTGAAAGAAGCCGATTCAGTTCATACTTTCTATAACTATACAGAGATATTAAAGAAAGAAAATTCAAGAACTTGTTCAACTCAAGTATATTGAGCTTTATAAGAATACCAGCTCTAGTTAGTGTCATCTGATCCACCAAACAGAAAATTTACATTTCCTCTTCAAAACATTCCATACGTATTAAG